AGAAGCTACCAGGTTTAAGGGGGGGGGGGGGGGGATGGCCGAATGGTTAGCGCGTGCGTGTTGTATCATTAGGTCTGTCATTGAGTCAACTGACGTAGTTTCGATTCCTCGGTTCTACGTTACACGTGACAAGGAGTAGGGTCGCCTGTCCAACCTCGTTGGTTTTCTCCAGGTCCTCCAGTTTCCTCCCACTGCTAAAGACCCCTACGCACAAGTGATGTATTGCCTGATATGTCCTGAAGTAACCTAGCTAGCTATATAGTCTGTGTCGAGTTGACGTTAAACCCTATCCTTCTCTCAGAAGGCTATATTGTGAAATATCTTTGATCCTTGTCTGTTAAATCTCCATTTCATTTTAGATGTTTAATCCTATAATTAGATAACTTGAATTTATACTCTCGAATAGAAATGTCTGGCAGCTCGGAAATTGGATTATTCCATCTTGTACAGAAGTGTATAGAGTTACGTTTAGTGTGTACAGTTCACAGCCTTCTCCTTTTTCAAGATCCTTATCTGCAGACGGCTTGACATCTCCAGATCCCCTTTTATCTCCAGATCCTAGCTTCTTTACATCCGGAGATCTTAGACTAATTACAGATATCTCCATATCCTTAGACCTCAATTCCTGATATATCAAGACTTGCATACCTCTATAATAGATTCAGGATCTTGAGTTTTTAGGGTCTTGGGATGGGTTTTTTTCAGGATCGTGTCGAGATAAAAGTTGTTTTATTTTGTCATCTAGTCTCCCTTATTACACAACAGCAAAATATTGACAAAGCGATTTTTCAACTGACCATTTAAGACGTTGTGAAGGATCTTTTATTTTAAGAGAAAGAGAGAAATGGGGTTTAACGTCCACTCGACACAAACCAAGTAATTTTGGGACCAACATATGGTTCAGTTATATTTCAATAATTCGCTTGCGCATAGGGGTCTTTAGCAGTTGAAGGAAACCGGAGAAAACCCACAGGTGATCCTATTCCTTGTCCGGTGGGGTTGGATGGCCGAATGGTTAGCACATGCGCACTGTATCATAAGGCCTGTCATTGAGTCAACGGGCATGGTTTTGAATCCCCGATTGTACCTGACAAGGAGTAGGGTCGCCTGTCCAACCTCGTGGGTTTTCTCCGGATCCTCCGGTTTCCTCCCACTGCTAAAGACCCCTATGCGCAAGCGAATTACTGATATAAAATTAAACCATGTTAGTCACAAAATGACCTAGTTTGTGTCGAGTAGACGTTAAACCCCATCTCTCTATTTCTCTCTCTCTCTCTCTCTCTCTCTCTATCTCTATCTGTTAACATTAGCCTATTTAGCTACAACAAAGTAAAACTCCATTTCCTATCAGTAATTAATGGCCAACACATTTACAAAGATAAACGGGTGATGAAAAACATCATTTCATATCATTGTCTTCCAATTACCAAGTTTTGCTTTTTTAAGTAGGATTGATTGCGAGAAATAATGGTTATAAAATGTAATGGTGGCTGATGTCTCTCCAGGGACAATAACCTAATGGTGTCGATATATTGTAATATAAATCTTATGACAAAACAACCATTTTGTTACATTCATCACCTTTATAGAGATGATATAAACTTTGACGTGTATATATATCATATTTCATTAATATTAACGTATAGAACAAAGCTGACAGGATTGTTACCTGCTCAGGTGGGTTGGATGGCTAAATGGTTTAATGCATGTGTCTTACATCATAGGGCTGTCACCGACTCAAGTTGCTAGGTTTTGATTACCATCTGTCGAACCTTCAGTTTCCTCCCACAGCTAAAGATCCCCATGCGCAAGGAATTATTAAAATATGATTAAACCATATGTTAGTCCTGAAATGACCTAGTTTGTGTCGAGTAGATGTTAAACCTCATTTATCATTTTATTGGATTAAGTGTAATCCAACTTAAACAGGGGATCACGGTGGTTAAGTGGGTAAGACGCTGGCTCGCTAGCCTGGAGGTCGGGTGTTCGTTCACTGTATTGGCCGAGAAAGTTCATCCATACTTTCCGGCGGGGTTTCCCCTTGTCAGTGATGCAGGATGGAGGGCCTGACAAGGACAGCTGTCTAGTCTTTCGGATAGGCCGAAAAACCGAGGTCTCATGTATATATTGGAATGCACGAAAAAGATCCCCTGGCAGTTGGAATTTGATATAGAAGTAGGCGATAGTGCCACTGTCCGGGCAAAATTTCCCTCATAGCACACTGTATGGCGTATGCCCGTCTTTATTAGCCCAGCATAGAAGCAGAACAGTAGGACGTTAAACCCCATTTCATTTCATTTCATTTCCACTTAAACACTGCTGGACTCATCGCTAATTCCTGTTCCAAATTACGACTGGTTAAGTCAGGTCAACAACCAATACATATTTTGTTTCAACAAACGGGATAGTTCTTGGAATTCCAACAATGGTACTCAGTAGAGATTTGGTTGGACAATAAAAATAGACACACTCCATCAAAAACCCAAGTTTTCGCTCTAGGTTCAGTAATGGCTAGAGAGGGATTTTGTCATTGAGTTGAATATTAAATTCTAGACTTTGATTAACAATTTTTTGTCCCTTAATGTTCTGAATCCCCTGCTAACTTACGTGAACTTATAGAACCCTATAAACCCAGTGGAAATCTGATAATCGCAAGATCAGATATCTAAACGTTTTTTTTCATACACTGCGCCACATTTATGGAATGAAATTCTCCAGTTCTTAACGAACTCTTCGAATGTTAATCATTTTAAAAACCAACTTAAAGATACATTATGCAAGAGCTAAATCTGCCTATTTGCAGGTCTTTCTTTATAGGCCTGAAATGTTATCTAAATTATTAATTTATCCAGACCATAATCAACTCTCGATGGCATCGCTAGCCTGCGATGTTTATTGGATTAGGTTCTGATTTGTTGTTCGACTTCCATTCATAATTTAATCATGAAATGGATAATCAAGACTATGTTTTTTATCCTACCGACTTTAGTAATGATGATCGAGGCTAGGCCGAAAATTCAATCGCTAAAATCTCGGCTTAGACCGAAATTTTTAGCAAATCCCTTTACAGTATCTACTTTTTAACTATTATAGTGAGAACTGCCAGCTCTTTATCTAATCTCCCATAATGTATCTTTAAATCAAATTAACACAAGGTACAATTTTATGGATACACAATTACTGAGTTTAATACTAAGCGACGTTTCGGCGAGGATACTCTCATCTTTATCAAGCAAATGATACAGGTATGCGAATAGTAGACAAATATATACACAATATGCAACAAAAATAACAATCAAATACATTTAAAACTTAAAACCTTTGATACTGGACTGGTGTTTTGGGGGCTATACTATATACCGGAAAACACAATGTTATACTGAATACCGGAAAAAATACCGGAAAAACACTAAATACCGGAAAACACACTAAATACCGGAAAACACACTAAATACCGGAAAACACACAAAATAGGTAACTCGGAGCCTGGTCCTCTGGAAAACACCGGAAAAACCTAACCCTACTAACCCTAACTCCTCGCAAACAGAGGACCAGACTCTGGTTACCTATTTAGGGTGTTTTCCGGTATTTAGTGCATTTTCTGGTATTTAGTGGTTTTACAGTGTTTTCCGGTATTCTGTATAACATGGTGTTTTCCGGTAGTTTTCTAGTGTTTTCTGGTGTTTTTCAGTGTTTTCCGGTATATAGTATTGCCATGTTTTGGGGAGTTATCCATTGAGAATTTGATCAGATTGTTTTATAATATGTAGATCTGTTTGTTAATGAGGTCTATCATATATATATATCTTTGTTTCTTTACTCAGTTTTAAAGACATATATATATCTCAACTTTGTAAACCGTCTTATCTGGATTTTGTATAAATGAACAAATTATTAGTATAATACGTAGCTGTTTGGTGGTGTGGTATATACAGTAGCGTGGTGGTGTCCTTGTAGATTGTGGAACATGGCCGTCTTTTACCTTTTTTTGACAATGACCAATCAAATTCTTTTATTTATTTTTTTTTTTTTAGAAACTCAAAGTTAACATAAAGAAATAATAAAATAGATGTGTGTTAGGCAGGGTTTGGGGGTGGTTCAAATGTCTCCATTCACGAAAAATCAGGTTATTTCAGGCAAAAATAACGAAGACAGTAATAAGGATATAATTTTCAGGGCACAAGTGCAGTTTTCGGGCTCAAGTGCAGTTTTCGGTCAAATTCATTTTTATATTCTCTACTGGGAGAAAAACATTTTCAATTTTAACCTGGAATATGTTGAACAAAATGATAGTTAAGATGACTTATGTATATGTAGCTCAAGAAATGAAATGAAAATGAAATGAAATGGGGTTTAACGTCCTACTGTTCTGCTCCTAACCTGGGCTAATGAAGACGGGCATACGCCATACAGTGTGCTATGAGGGAAATTTTGCCCAGACAGCGGCACTACGGCCTACTCTTATATCGAATTCCAACTGCCAAGGGATCTTTTACGTGCACGCCAATGTGTACACGGGACCTCGGTTTTTCGTCCCATCCGAACGACTAGACAGCTTTCCTTGTCAGCCCCTCCGTCCTGCATCACTGACAAGGGAGAACCACGCCGGAAAATCTGGATGAACTTTCTCGGCCAATGCAGGGATCGAACACCCGACCTCCAGGCTAGCGAGCTAGCGTCTTACCCACTTAGCCACGTGATCCCCATGTAGCTCAAGAAGACAATATGATAAAAAAAATCTGATTGGTTGTTCTTATATGAGATCTCGGTAATATCACCCCTCCTTTCTCTATTTCGTGACAAGGAGTAGGGTCGCCTGTCCAACCTCGTGGGTTTTCTTCGGGTCCTCTGGCTTACTCCCACTGCTAAAGACCCCTAGGTGCAAGCGAATTATTGTGTCGAGTGGACGTTAAACCCAATTTCTCTCTCTCTCCCTTTCTCTATTTCATTAAAAATTGGTTATGGCTTTTATTTATTTGGTGATTGGTTTTTATTTTCAGATCCGTGCGAGAAAAATAAGTGTAAAGAGCCTCAGGTTTGTCAACTTGACGAACTCAGAAAACCAATATGCAAATGTAATTTTATATGTTACGAGGACTTTGAACCTGTCTGTGGTAGTGATGGCAGGACATATAGTAACGAATGTATGCTTAAAAAAGAAGCCTGCAAGGCACGAAAAGAAATACATCTTACTTACAAAGGAAAATGCAGCACAGGTTTGTAGTAAAACTCTTAGTAATGAAATTCATGATTTCAAGTCGTAAATAAATATTTCTTCCTCTCATAAATAACGTGATTGATTCAGCTTGAGGCCATAAATCGGCACTGATATGCTTTATTACCGATATGCCATATTCTAGGCAAGTCATAAATTTGCCATACGGATAGGGTTATTACAAGGATATTTGTATGCAGGGCGTAAAATTGACTCACAAATTGGAATGATCCAATCGAAGATTTGAAGCGTACTCGTCGAAAAATCTGAACATTTTATTACTCCAGGGAAATGGAATGAATATTCATATAGATAAATTGGTTGCTTTTCGTTTAATGCTTTGCGAGAAAAACCAAGAAGATGATTGCTTTGTGTTTCTTAAATTGTTTTGACTTGGTAGTTGTCGTGATTTAGTCTTCATTTAGGGAAGAAGTATTAAAGGTCACCAGAAAAGCTTCAATGTTTGTTTAAATAAAGCAAGTAATTATGTTAACATGTCCTTTCGATAAGTATAACACGAAACCGAATGTCAATATTGCCTGCAACAGTTAAATTTCAAAGTTAGTAATTTCCGCTGTTCTCCGTGAGTAGTCGTAATTTTCCGTCAATAAACAATCTGTGATGTCATTTTAATCCTTCTGCTCATATTCCAGTCTATATTTCTATAACCATAAAGACTAAAATGACGTCATGTATCATTTATTGACGAAAAGTTACGACTACTCACGAAGAACAGCTGAAATTAGTAACGTTGAAATTTAACTTTTGCAGGTAATATTGACATTCGGGTTCATGTTAGACTTATGGAAAGTATATATTGACATAATTACTTACATTATTTCAAAAATTTATGAAGCTTTTATGATGGCTTTTAAGGAAATACCGAACTTGCATACTCGAAGATAAACGTGAATTACTTACATTATTTCAAAAATTTATGAAGCTTTTATGATGGCCTTTAAGGAAATACCGAACTTGCATACTCGTAGGTAAACGTGTGTATTTATTTATTTATTTACCACATGGTGTACATGCAGTGGTGGAGACGCAGGATATTGGGTTAGGAGGGATGTACCACAAAACACCATTGACACACTGATTTTTCAAAATTTTCTCAGAGATTGACTCCCTAGAGGGAACCATCTCACCTACGAGTATGTACTTTGCTCCTATGAGCAGTCGCTTGATGGAATTCCAGCCCCTATTACAAAATCAATATTTAATAGGAATTAAACAATGGCGCTGTAAACAATACTTGCATATAAGGCAGACAACTCTCACAGGTCGAGGGGGGTTGGATGGCTGAATGGTTAGCGTGCGCGCGCTGTATCATAAAGTCTGTCATTGAGTCGACTGGCGTGGTTTCGAATCCCCGGTTGTACGTGGCAAGGAGTAGGGTCGCCTGTCCAACCTCGTGGGTTTTCTCCGGGTCCTCCGGTTTCCTCCCACTGCTAAAGACCTCTACGCGCAAGCGAATTGTGTAAATAAAGTTGAACCATGTGTTGGTCCCGAAATGACCTGGTTTGTGTCGAGTGGACGTTAAACCCCATTTCTCTCTCTCTCTCTCTCTCTCACAGGTCGGAGATTCCTCTGTAATATGAAAATCTGGAGTATTGCTAGGTTCCCACTGTCGTGCGTTGCGTTACGATAGGATTGTCCCTATTGAGTCCACGATCTTTTGGGGGGGTTGGATGGCTGAATGGTTAGCGTGCGCGCGCTGTATCATAAAGTCTGTCATTGAGTCGACTGGCGTGGTTTTGAATCCCCGGTTGTACTTGGCAAGGAGTAGGGTCGCCTGTCCAACCTCATGGGTTTTCTCCGGGTCCTCCGGTTTCCTCCCCTGCTAAAGACCCCTACGCGCAAGCGAATTATGTAAATAAAATTAAACCATATTTTAGTCCCGAAATAACCTAGTTTGTGTCGAGTGGACGTTAAACCCCATTTCTCTCTCTCTCTCTCCACAATCTTCTACATGCAGATACGTTCAGATACGATCGACACGATTGCTATGACTGACCTCAATATATGATAAGACCTGATAGGATCACAACGATTACTCAACGATTAAAACCATGATTTCAATCGTGGCACGAATCGTGATAGTGGGTGTCTGGTATTAAAGGCCATACTATATCATGATGATGGTGATACTATTGATTGCTTGCATGATTTAATTTAATTGAGAGTCAAAATATGACTATTATTGTTTAGTGTACGGATATAAAATGGTTATTGTAAAAAATGTTATTCTTTCGTTGAAAATTTACATGCTTATTTTGGGGGAGCGGGGGATAAAAAAATAAATTTATTTATGAGAAATGTTAAATATTGTGATTATTAAGTTATATATTTTTTTGATTATAAAATAAATTATTGTGTTTGGAATGGGGTGGGGGATAAAGATTGAAATTTATTTATAAAAAATGTTAAATATTGTGAATATTAAGTTATGTATTTTTTTTGATTATAAAAAAAATTATTGTGTTTGGAATGACGATTGTCTGTTGAATGATGTAGATTATGAATTGTGTCTGCATTTATATTGTCATTTTGAATATTATTATGTTTTTTGCGATTTATGTAAAGATTTTATTTTTGATATATTAGCTCTCCGAGTTCTAACTGGAACAGTACAAGATGAGTATAATAACAAACATGGTAAATTACCTCTCTCCTGTGATCTCTTCCAGTCCTTTCTCATTGGTCGTTTCACATGATTTGTTCCTCTGATCATCATTTCACAGATTATTAGACTACAATATTGTGAAATTAGAATCTCTAATATTTCTAATATCATTCAAAAAATGGTTCAGTTCCGTTCAGTAATTACAAAGTTATCATGAATTGACACTATATTTCGAGTCTCTGATTGTCATTTTACAGATTATTAGATTATTAATCTCTAGTGGACTACAATATTATGAATGTTGAATCTCCAAAAGGGGTTTCACTCCAAAAATGGTTCAATTCCGTTCAGTTTTTACAAAGTTATCATGAATTGAAAATTGGCAACGGATTATTAATCTCTCGGATACTACAATATTGTGAAAGTTAAATCTCTAAAAGGGATTTCACTCTAAAAATGGTTTAATTCCCTTCAGTTTTTACAAAATTATGATGAATTGAAAATTTGGCAACATTCGGCATCCTCAGCAGATGCTATAAATGGGTTAAGCTCAAATCAAACCAGTGCCACCTATAATCTTATCTGAAAATCTTTTGATGGGCCTCTTTTTAATCTTAGCCAAATGATTATCTACCTTGGATATATTCAGTGGCGGCACCGGGGGGGGGGGGCAAGGGGGGGGGGGGGGCATTTGCTCCCCCGTTAATCTGCTCTGCCCTCTGTTTGCCCCCCCAATGATTTTAGAAATTAAAAAAAAGTATTTGTGATACGTTTCGGTAATCAATACCTTCTATGATGAATAAATCCCACATCCCCACTCAGTCATAAACTTGCATGTTGTAGAGCATTTCTGATAGTCTATTTTTCAAAATTTTCTTGGCGAGGTCCCCAATGGACTCGCTACTTTGGCACTCACAAGGGGAATTCGTTGAGGTTCGCAAGTCCGTTCGTTTGACATTTTGTTCTCTAGTCGGATAAACTAGTGATTAGGCGACGAACGGTATCTGGGCAGATCTATTTATCTCGACGATTGGTGCCTGACAGAATACTGTAAGACAGCATTTCCGGCAGTCTATTTTTCAAAATTTTCTTGGGGAGGACTCCCTACTTTGAAGCTCGTGAGTGGGCTTCGTCGTGATTCGCAAGTCTGTTCATTTGACACTTTACCTCCTCGATCAGTGCCTGAAATACTGCCAGGCTGCATTTCCGGCAACCTGTTTTTCAAAATTTTCTGGGGGAGGCCCCCTACCCCTAGTTGAAGCTCGTGCCTTTGCCCCCTTAACCTTGAACTTTGCCCCAGCTTTGCCCCTCCAATCACCGACGGCTGGCGCCGCCACTGGATATATTATTATTTACTTCTTAATTAATTGCTACGTCATCAATTTTCACAAAAATAATTTTAGCCAGGGGGATATCTTCCTTGGAAATTCCATTTTATGTTTCTTGATTATATTTTACGTCATCAATTTTGAGTTCATTTCAACGTGGATTAACTCATGAAAAACTTAGATATTGTCGAAAAAATACAAATGACTTTCAGTGACTCATTCAATTTATTTAAAATATTTCATTTAACTTTTATTATTGGAGTGTAAATTGTTTAAAAGAAATAAGATCAACATAGGAACAATCGTTTTTGCGCAATATTCAGACCAATAAGGAATGGAACACTCTTATACTCACAAATTCCAACTTTTCACAAAATTAAATAAATATGATATATATATATATTTTTTTTTTTGTTCACCATTCTCAGTTTTCTAAAAGTCACTCTAATCCAGTTCAATAAATTTGATATTGAATGGCCTTAATTTATGGTACAAAAATTAAAAAAATATTTCAAAATAATCTGAAAATCAAACCTTTTTTGATTAGAATTAGAAGATCTGACATCAATGACATTTTTGAATGGGAAGTTGAGAAGATTTTAAAAAGTTTTATTATGCTCTTTTTCTGTAGAAATACAAAGAAGGGTTGCGTAATGATATCTTTTTGCCTTTTTATTCACTCTTATTGGATTACGACATGCAGTGTTGTTACCTTTTTTTTCAAATATGCAGGGATTGTTTACCAGGAAGACCTCAATTGAAATACAGAATAATTTGATGGCATATAGCTATTTGAATCGTAAATTTTAAACTGACTGTGTTTATTTCCAGTGATATTTTGCTTTTTAAAGCTTATGAATGTTAGGTGACTGAACAAGGCAGGAAATTAAAGAGGACCGAATCAAGGGTACACACAGATCCCGCAAAATTTATTCTTGTGTATGATCATGAACAAATGTTTTATTTATCCCATCCCTGGAGATCAGGGGTTCGATCCCTGCATTGGCCGAGAAAGTTCATCAGGATTTTCCGGCATTGTTTCCCCTTGTCAGTGGTGCAGAACGGAGGGCCTGACAAAGACAGCTGTCTAGTCGTTCAGATGGGACGGAAAACCGAGGTAACATGTATACATTGGTGTGCACATGAAAGATCCCTTGGCAGTTGGAATTCGATATAAGACTAGGTCGTAGTGCCACTGCCCAGGCAAAATTTCCCTCATAGCACACTGTATGGCGTATGCCTGTCTTCATTAGCCCAGTCGGAGCAGAACAGTAGGACGTTAATCCACATTTAATTTCATTTCATTTCCTATTTGGGGGTTTGATGGCTGAATGGTTAGCGTGCGTGCGCTATATCATACAGTCTGTCATTGAGTCGACTGGCGTGGTTTCGAATCCCCGGTTGTACGTGGCAAGGAGTACGGTCGCCTGTCCAACCTCGGGGGTTTTCTCCGGGTCCTCCAGTTTCCTCCCACTGCTAAAGACCCCTACGCGCAAGCGAATTATCTAAATAAAATTAAACCATATGTTAGTCCCGAAATGACCTAGTTTGTGTCGTGTGGACGTTAAACCCCATTTCTCTCTCTCTCTCTCTCATTTCCTATTTGTCCCAACCATTGATTTGCAAAAGAATTATGACTCGTGTTATCGTTAATTTGTAGTCATGGAACCAAATACAATCAAAGACAATTTCAAGTCACATGTTCACCAGAATGCTATCAGCCCACTGTTGATTGGCTAGTTGAACATACGCTTGCACTTTAATTGGTCAACTGGGTGTTACCATGTGTCTTGTGATTGTCTATGGCTGGTTGATTTTGAATTAAATACCGGTATATAGATGAGATGAAAAATCAGAACTTATTTTAAAAGTTGAAAAAAAAAATAGAACAGTCATACACATTCAAACAACAAGTTTTAACAGAATTTATTTTGTCAATCTAATTAAAACACAGATCCTATTTCGTTTTGTTTTTTATAGTTCAAAATTTTGTTTTACTTGTCTACACAACACTAGAATCTGGAAGAGTTGTTATATAACTTGGTTCTGGTTGAAGTGAGGGATTAGCCAATGAAATGGTCTGTTACAGCGAGTTCTTGGCTTACGATGCACAGTACTGTGTAAACCCCTAGAAACGTCAACACTGATTGATTAATCAATGTCTTACGTCATAGGGTCAAAACCTGCTCGTACCACCCCTGCTACAACCTCCCAGTAGAACCAGTCAGTTCTTCATGTAGTGTAGGCCATCGAAAGTGTAAAAAAAACCCGAAATAAAATATAGATCTGTATTTTAATCAGATTACTATTTTGTCTGAGTTATCTGAAACCAGTGTACCCCTCTCACTTGGCCTTCATTACCTTCCTGCCTTGTTACATCCGTTAACTTTTAACATTTCAAAAGCAGTCGTTAGTAGTAATAAGCAGCGACTGTCCCCTGAACAAAGAGGTCTTGTCCAGTTTCGTAGTGTTATGATTTTATCCCCCTCCTCTCTCCCTCTGCCCCCACAGATGGACTCTTGATGTTGTTGTTTCTGTCAGTTTTTTGGTTGCTATTGGTTACTATTTCAGTGATTTGATATCGTAACGATGTATATTTTAAAGAGAGAGATTCTTTGTTACAAGTATATTCGTGTATTTGGTTTCGTGTTTGTATTTTTCTTTACAGATCTGTAATTTGATAAATGATAAATTTCTTTGAATTTCAGAGCATTGTAATTGATTTAGCATGGAAATTTCAGAAGTTGAAACATTATCGACTTAAATCAAATTTAGGAATAGCCATAGTGTCTCATATTCACGCAACACTTCACACAACGGTGCACCAATTATACAGAGATCTCTAGCATTTGGAAAAGAATCGATCTGGAAGAAAAATATTTCGATTGTTTTTTGTTTTACACTTGTTTATTTGAGTTTTTTTTATGCATGATTATAGTTTGTTACGATAGATAATAAAGTGCATGATTTAAAAATATAGCTAGAATATTGTAAATAGACTTTAAAATAAAATATGATTTTAGTGGCATTTAGCGATTGGAAACATACGGGCCTCGGCTGCAGGACAATATATAATGTATTAGATAGACGCTATTGAATTTATGTAAATTTAAAATAATCCTCCGCAGTTTAGTTTTAACAGATAGTAGAATAAATATCTCCTTACTATTCAAATCAACATGATTGGGGACAATTGAAGGAAAGCATTCGATTAAAGTTAAAGGCCAGTCATATTCATTTCCTTTTGGTATTTGAAAGTAGAAAACGACCGAATGCATGAACGACATATCTTATCTTATATCAAACCAGCTTGAATAAAATTTATATGATTTTAGATTTCAACATTTTTGATATCATCAAACTAAAGTGGGCATATAATTGTGCCAAAAATATGATAAAATATTGATATGTTCCCCTGGTAGGGTGCTTCACACACATCAAATGGGCCGTGGGAGGGAGGGGGATGTATATGTATAGATATAAGGCAATTAGAGCAAGGTTCTTAATTTATTTTGAAACTGACTGGCCCGAACTGGGTCAGTTAAAGTCGTTGTCAACAATAGGAAATAATTCCAACTTACGATCTTCTATTCCCTTTAATATAACCATGGTTCTTTATAATAATCTGTTATGTAGAATATCATAATTCTGAGTACGCTAATATTTATGATTTACGGTACCGCAAAAAATGATTTATGTCACCGGTTTCAAGTTCATGTCTATGATGTTAATGAATAAACGACTGTGAACACATGTTTCAACCTGTGGTTGTGCAGGAAGGAGGGCCTGACAAGGACAGCTGTCTAGTCGTTTGGATGGGACAAAAAAAACCCCAAGGTCCTGTGTATACATTGGAATGCACATAAAAGATCTCTTGGCAGTTGGAATTTGATATAAGAGTAGGCCATAGTGCCACTGCCCAGGCAAAATTTCCCTCATAGCACACTGTATGGCATATGCCTGTCTTCATTAGCCCAGTATAGGAGCAGAACAGTAGGACGTTAAACTCCATTTCATTTCAACGTGTTGTTTATTATTTCAGGTAGTAATCCATGTGACGTCATCAGGTGTGGTCCACAGGTGTACACATGTTTCAACCTGTTGTTTATTATTTCAGGTGATAATCCATGTGACGATATCAGGTGTGGTCCCGAGGAGGAGTGTAGTATAGACAGACAGGGATCCGCGTCATGTATCTGCCCCACCCCCTGTGAACCGGTGATGAGACAAGTCTGTGGTAACGACAGTGTCACTTACGATAACGAGTGTGAATTACGTAGGAAGTCTTGTTTGACCAAAAAATTTGTCACAGTTGCTCATACAGGAGTTTGCGGTAAGTTTAAAATTAATAGACATTTCTATCTTGGTAATATGTGATTTTTCACATTTTGACTTCTGAAGCGTGTGAATAGAATATTTTAAAAGTTTGATTTTGTTAAAGTTGATTTTAGAACTGACATGGATGGCTGTGGGTGTAGTAGCCATATTTAGAATCTAATAGAACCTGCTCAGATACGTAACAGATCCATGTCTGTCTCACGCAAGGTATAAATAAACACGATTGATTATATATCGTAGGTAAATTAGTATTGATTGACAAGCCGTTAAAAACCACATTGTTATTAAATAACCTAAAATAGCAAATGGATCTTCTGTTCAATTTTCTTGTGTTAATAAACAGTAACGTAATGTAATGATCAGATATATATAAAACCAGAATCTGATTTTAGCGTGGACGACTTCAGGATATTGTATAACCCTTTTAACTCGTGTCGTCTGGACCCAAACTCGGCCATCGTTTTCCTGTTATTTCCTCCCTCCATTTCGGATATATACAAGAGCTCATAATTAAAGTTTACAATAACAGATTACTTTTAATTTAGCTAAGGCTGATCTTCATTGTTCGAGACAATAAACATCACTTTTAATTTGGAGAGGTTTCAAGATGGAGCTAGACATGTAATAATCTACTCGTATTCATTTTTTCTCGGGTCGTCTGCTAGATACAATCTTATCAACTAAAATCAGTCGGCTATATATTTAGATATCACAGTATCTTATTGTATGTTAGAATAAAAAAGTGGAGACTGGGTTTTGAAAACGTTGACTCTTTTATGAAAGCGACTGGAGTGGGGGGGGTGAAAGAGTTGACTCCTTTATGAAAGAGACAGGGGAGGACTGAGCCGCAACACTAATTCACTTGTGGATTATGTACAACAAATCCATTGTAGATAAAATCCCCTTGGACAAAACCGTATTTGGAAAAAAAATCTCTATGGTGACGCAACCCCCAAGTAATTTGCAAATATTTTTTCCTATGTTCCTCATTGACAGCTCCTTAATATGAATTTATTTCCAACGGACTTGGTTTTATAGGACAATTGTCAGGTGGACGGACGTTTTTTACCAAATTGGTTTATATAGCAGCAAGGTGGCTTGGATGGCTGAATGGTTAGCACATATGCGTTGTATCATAAGGTCTGTCATTGAGTCAACTGGCTTTGTTTTGATTCCCCAGTTGTACGTCACCTGTCCAACCTTGTGGTTTTTCTCCGGTCCTCCGGTTTCCTCCCACTGCTAAAGATCTCTACGCACAAGCAAATTATTGAAATAAAATTGAACCATATGTTAATCCCAAAATGATGTAGTTTGTGTCGAGTGGACGTTAAACCCCATCTCTCTCTCTCTCTCTCTCTCTCTCTCTCTCTATCTCTATCTCTCTCTCTATATATATATATATATATAGGAGCTTATAGTACCAATACTACAATATGAGCTAATTTGTTATGGTTAGGATCAGAGTTGGAGTTGGACTTTAAAAGAACCCTGTGACCTAAATGTTGAATTGTCTAAAAACCTTGTTTTGTCAATAGTGTAACACTATCTTAATGATAACAGTTTAGTAAACATATAACGTAACGTAGCTATAAGTTCAGGAATTGTAAAGTAATCTAGCAACGTCCTGATGTTGTAAAACTTGCAGTCGTTGCTTCAGGAACATGAATCTTAATATGATACAAGTACTTTGTCACAATAGTGGGCTTTGTCCTGTTTCCTTACCTGGTTGCTTGATTACAGATTCTTGCAAGCTGCGACGGTGGTGTTTACAGGTATTTTCCCTGCGATTAAAGAATATGGATTGTTTTATTGAGATTATTAACATCGTTTGAATTGTTCGTACTATTTCAGGAGGAGATGTACCATGTAGAAATTTTAAATGTGAATATGATGCCGAGTGTGTGGAGAGGGAAGGTCAGCCATCTTGTGAATGTAAAATATGTACAGAACAATATGAACCTGTAAGTTTCATTTTTTTACACCATGTTTTTAAAAATGATAGCCATAACCCGTGGCGGGGTGTTAGATGACCGAATGATTAGCACGTGCACGCTGTATCACAAGGTCTGTCATTGAGTCAACTGCGGGGTTTACCCTGGTTGTACGTGACAAGGAGTGTGGTCGCCTGTCCAACCTCATGGGTTTTCTATGGGTCCTCCGGTTTCCTCCCACTGCTAAAGACCCCTACACGCAAGTGAATTATTGAAATAAAGTTAAACCATGTGTTAGTCCTGAAATGACCTAGTTTCTGTCAATTGGACATTAAACCCCATTTCTCTCTCTCTATAATCCGTGGCAGCCAGTCCAAGAAACTGTGCATAATCACAGCTTGCTTGGAAACATGATAAAAATTAAATGTCATGAATGGGTTTTATTTGCAGAGTTATTACCCCTGTCATCCAAACCTTAAAAAACACTTTTCAGTCCAAAGTTTCTGACATTTTCTGATTTAAAAGTTCATGGTTGACATAGATGGCAATATTTTTACTTTATCATCATCCTGATGTGGCTTCACAGAGGTCCTGACAATGAACAGTGTCCAGTTATTCGGATGAGACAAAAAACCGAGGTCCCATGTACACGTTGGCATGCACATAAAAGTACCCTTGACAGTTAGAATTCAAAATAAAAGTAGGACCATAGTGTTGCTGTGTAGCACTATGGCCCTTGAGACAATTTTGGCTCTTTATAAAATTGTCTCTTCAATTTGGTCTATAAAGTCAAATCATAAGTACTAAATGAACGTGGTTATAGTTGTTCGTAAAAAACAGTGATGTTTTATTTAAATTATAATCATTGTCAAAATAGTCCACAAATTCTAGCTGTTTATTGACCTATGGTCGGTTGACCAAAAATAGGTAATGTTGCCTGTCTTGGTTGTGGGAAATATAGAGTTTTATTCCTTATATGGCGTGGAAATTCACGTCAAGGTTATTAAAGACCTGGGAAAGTAGGGGGTATAAATTAGGGTGTAGGGGAGAGCTAGATTAGAGCTCACCCAGAGATTCTTACCAGTCATTATATATTTGAGAACGAGGAACCTGCAAAGTTATTTCCAGTTTATTAATAAAGCTGTGAAATCATTGTTGCTGTAGTATTATTTACGATCACAAGGAACACAACAAATAAAGAAGTCCGGTAGTACTACAGCTGTCCGGACAAAATTTCACTCATAGCACACTGAACAGTATATGCCAGTCTGCATTATCCCAGATTAGTCTGGTCGAGATAGAAAATTTGTGGGAAGAAATTCCTACCCAATTGATTTCTTCATTTTCTGAAACAACTATGTCCCTAGTGTTCCAGAAAACTTTTCCCCGCCGATCGGTGTTGAGCAAATCTTTTTACAGCATTTTGAAATTTTGACCCCCTGGGTCAACATAATGAAACTGAAAACCATTGATAACTTCAAAAATATCAATTTTACACCCTAGAAATGTATTATCAACATATAGGAAAGTGATACCAAGGATTCCAGAAATGATGTCAAAAGTAACGTATGACGTCACCGTGACGTCAGAATACAAAATGGCGGAACTATGACGTCACTGTGATGTCAAAATTCAAAATGGCGGAGACGTGTTGTGAATAAAGCAATAACAGCAAGCAAAAAGACAAGAGGAACATTCTGGACACCATAAAATATTCATTCGGGTCATCATAAATAAAATCATCAAAATATTCTTCAGTTCTGATTTGTTCTGCCCCGTACCAAATTCATCTTCTAAATCGATGCTGATTTGTTGGCTATTCAGACAACCCTCCCCATGGCATCCTCCACGCGCTTCAACACATTTCAAACCATTCTTTGTACAAGAACGTGACGAGCATTGGTTTTTCAACGATTTACATTTACACCGAATGAAATTCAGAACGTTTTCTGGTGCTGATGGAAGAACAGTCGCGATGGGAACGTGTCTATTCTCTATCACTTGCCAACCCCAATTCACAGGATCGACGCCATCGTCTAGTTCATCCCAAATTCTAACCTGAACATGGACGCGGTGAGCATGCTGCTCGGCCGCGGCAGCTGTTGGAGGAAGTCTATTGATTTGAATGGAAATTTTTTTCAGCGATCATAGCTTTGTACCTTAGGTACCGGACTTTAGTTGTGACAATACATTACACAGAATAACCTTTCTCCAGCTTCAGATACTTCGGACTGGGAACTTCCAGGTGAAGCTATTGTCTAGCTTGCTTCCTGAAAGATATCACTGTTCGTATGTTTAAGACGTCCCAATTCACAGCATCCGAAACAACCAGAAGTGGTATCACACCCAGACCAGGCGTGAATGAACAATAAATTGTCTAATACAGTTTTATCCATTGCGCTGCAGACTGATTTTATGTCATAGGTGTTGCGCTTTTTGTCCAAGTGGCAAAGATGAATTGTCGCCAGATATTTTGGTCTCATTACTGCACCACGCGAAACCAGAAATGGCGACAATTCATCTTTGCCACTTGGACAAAAAGCGCAACACCTATAACATAAAATCAGTCTGCAGCGCAATGGATAAAACTGTATTAGACAATTTATTGTTCATTCACGCCTGGTCTGGGTGTGATACCACTTCTGGTTGTTTCGGATGCTGTGAATTGGGACGTCTTAAACATACGAACAGTGATATCTTTCAGGAAGCAAGCTAGACAATAGCTTCACCTGGAAGTTCCCAGTCCGAAGTATCTGAAGCTGGAGAAAGGTTATTCTGTGTAATGTATTGTCACAACTAAAGTCCGGTACCTAAGGTACAAAGCTATGATCGCTGAAAAAAATTTCCATTCAAATCAATAGACTTCCTCCAACAGCTGCCGCGGCCGAGCAGCATGCTCACCGCGTCCATGTTCAGGTTAGAATTTGGGATGAACTAGACGATGGCGTCAATCCTGTGAATTGGGGTTGGCAAGTGATAGAGAATAGACACGTTCCCATCGCGACTGTTCTTCCATCAGCACCAGAAAACGTTCTGAATTTCATTCGGTGTAAATGTAAATCGTTGAAAAACCAATGCTCGTCACGTTCTTGTACAAAGAATGGTTTGAAATGTGTTGAAGCGCGTGGAGGATGCCATGGGGAGGGTTGTCTGAATAGCCAACAAATCAGCATCGATTTAGAAGATGAATTTGGTACGGGGCAGAACAAATCAGAACTGAAGAATATTTTGATGATTTTATTGATGATGACCCGAATGAATATTTTATGGTGTCCAGAATGTTCCTCTTGTCTTTTTGCTTGCTGTTATTGCTTTATTCACAACACGTCTCCGCCATTTTAAATTTTGACATCACAGTGACGTCATAGTTCCGCCAATTTGTATTCTGACGTCACGGTGACGTCGTACGTTATTTTTGACATCATTTCTGGAATCCTTGGTATCACTTTCCTATATGTTGATAATACATTTCTAGGGTGTAAAATTGATATTTTTGAAGTTATAAATGGTTGTCAGTTTCATTATGTTGACCCAGGGGGTCAAAATTTCAAAATGCTGTAAAAAATTTTGCTCAACTCCGATCGGCGGGGAAAATTTTTCTGGAACACTAGGGACATAGTTGTTTCAGAAAATGAAGAAATCATTTGGGTAGGAATTTCTTCCCACAAAGCTGGATTTGTCACCTTCTCCAACCAGCCTAGATGGAGCAGAGACCCTAATTCATATCTTTAATAAGCATTTATGAATAGTTGTTGGTGGGTGTTTTATTACCTGGCAACAGAAACCCATCTTCTAGTTTTAAATTGATGAAATAACTGTCATTATTTGTAACACTTTGGTCCTTGAGACAATTTTGGTTCTTTGCAAAATTGTTACTTTACTCTGTCTATAGAGTTAAATCACACGTACTTAATGAACGGGAATATATAGTTATACATAAAAAACCCAGTGATATTTTGGTTAAATCATAATCATTGTCAAAAATATCCACCAAATTCTGGCTGTTTATTGACCTATGGTTGGTAGACCAAAATAGGTAATGTTTCCTATCTCTTTGGTGGGAAATAAAGAGTTTTATCCATTATATGGGATGGAAATTAACGTCAAGGTTATCTTAGACCTGCAGAAATTAGTGGGTATAAATTAGGGTGTACAAGTGAGTTTGATCAGAGCTCACCCAGAAATTCGTAGCAGCCATTATCATTGAGAACGAAGAATCTACAAAGCCATTACGTCCTACTGTTCTGCTCCGACTGGGCTAGTGAAGACAAGCATACGCCATACAGTGTGCTATGAGGGAAATTTTGCCCGGACAGTGGCACTACGACCTACTCTTATATCGAATTCCAACTGTCAAGGGATCGTTTACGTGCACGCCAATGTGTACACGGGACCTCGGTTTTTTGTCCCATCCGAACGACTAGACAGCTTTCCTTGTCAGCCCCTCCGTCCTGCATCACTGACAAGGGAGAACAACGCTGGAAAATCTGGATGAACTTTCTCAGCCAATGCAGGGATCGAACATCCAACCTCCAGTCTAGTGAGCCAGCGTCTTACCCGCTTAGCCACATGATCCCCTGTACTGACTGGACTAATGAAGAAGGAATAACAACATAAAGAGAAAGTCGATTGATAGTACGTTTGATGTTGGTTGTGTAATAACAGAGTATGACTTTATAGAATTTCTGGTCTATACATTTATACATAATAGAGATGACAATGTGTAGAAATTTCATTAATAGACATAGTTATTGTATAGCTGGTGATTTAATATTATATCACAGACAGGACACAGCTGTATAGATAGATACTCGGTGTTTATTATAATCTCTTCAAGGTCTGTCATTGAGTCGACCGGCATGGTTTTGTTTCCTCCTACTGCTAAAGACCCCTATGCGCTAGTGAATTATTGAAATGAAGTTGAACCATAGGTTAGTCCCGAAATGACCTAGTTTGTGTTGAGTGGACGTTAAACCCCCTTTCTCTCTCTCATGCGTTAAATGTAAACTGGTTTTAAAATCTGTCGATCGTTTTACCAGTTTAAAATTGTTGCCTCTTAGTACAATAATGATATTGTTTTAATTGTTTATTTCAGGTTTGTGGCTATAATGGTATAACATACGAGAATGAATGCAAATTACGATTTGAAAATTGTAAATTTAAACAAAATGTTCAGATAAAACATCGGAAATCTTGTAGTAAGTTAATATTCTGAACTCATTATGGGGGAAAGCTGTTATATAATAATATGAAATTCTAAAGCTCATTGCCTGGGAAAGAGGTTATTGACGACATCACAGATTATATATTAATATGAAATTCTAAAGCTCATTACCTGGGAAAGAGATTATTGGCAATAGATTATATGTAATGTTTGGGCATGGATCTTATTTGTAAAGTGGGGTTGTTTGGAAAAATGGTTAGTGCGTGTGCATTGTGTCAACTGATGTGGGTTTGATTCCCCGGTTGTAGGTGACAAGGAGTAGCATTGCCACTGCTAAAGACCCTTACGAGCAAACAAATTATTGAAATAAAATCTCTGCAGACCTACATTGATAGAATCTTTTAAGTTGATACTGCATTATGACATTGGTACTTTCAAAATTTATCCCTAGATTATTAACCAAAATATTTTAAAATCATTTTATTTACAAATTAAAAATCTTTGAAATATTTTAAATCATTTTACTAAACAAATTAAAGATCTTTGAAATATTTAAAACCATTTTACTTACAAATTAAAAATCTTTGAAATATTTAAAATCATTTTACTTACAGGTTAAAAATCTTTGAAATATTTAGAATCATTTTACTTACAAATTAAAAATCTTTGAAATATTTAAAATCATTTTACTTACAGACGGTTGTGAAAATGTAAAATGTGAATTTTATGCAATTTGTGAAAGTGATGGAACTCAAGCCAGGTGTGTTTGTCCTACGTCCTGCATACCTGTAAGTATTACTATATTCATTTTACAGGCAATCTGATTAAAACACAGATCCAATTTCGTTTCGTTTTTATAGTTCAAAATTTCGATTTTACTTGTCTTTACTACACTTGGATCTGGAAGCGTTGTTATTTAACTCGTGTTCTGCTTGAAATGAGGGGTCAGCCAATCAAATGGTCTGTCGAATCGAGTGTTTGACCTTTTTTGTGCGAAACTGTGGATAGATATAAGCGGCTATAGAAATCAAAACAAAGCAAAAGTAGATAAAAAATACATGACGGTCGCTAATTGGTTAATCGAATGACTGACGTAATCGGGTCAAATGTCGCTTGCTTGGTACCTGACGTCATAGAACGTGAACTCCCACTATAACTTGTTAGATCTACACGTAGTGTAGGGCATCGAAAGTATAAAAAACGAAACAAAATTTGTGCCTGAGCTCCCTCCCCTTAAATAACAAACTCATTGTTGGATGGATGAAAATGTCATTTATTAATATAAACAAGACTTAATCTAAAACGTAATAAATGACTGTTTATTTATTAATGTAAATAATACTTTCTTTATCTAAATAAAATTAAACCATATGTTAGTCCCAAAATGACCTAGTTTGTGTCGAGTGGACGTTAAACCCCATTTCTCTCTCTCTCTCTCGATCCCAGGCTTGTAAGTGACAAGGAATACAGCGGCGGGGGTGGGGTGCAGGAAATGGCCTAATGGTTAGCGCACGCGATTTATCATAAAGTCTGTCATTGAGTCAAATGGCTTATCCAGCCTCGTAGGTTTTCTTCCACTAAAGACCCCTATGCGCAAGCGAATTATTAAAATAAAATTATACCATATGTTATTCCCGAAATGACCTAGTTTGTGTTGAGTAGGTGTTAAACCCCATTTCTCTCTCTCTCCCTCATCTGAATAAGAGGACCATAATTACAATTACAGATTAGCATGACAAGAGTCTAAATACAGACAGGGAATCAGAGAGTTTGACTGATGTTCTAGATTAAAAACCTTTCTTATATTTAAACATAGACAAATTACTTTACAAGTTAATTACACTAGTCAATGATTGGTCTAATCACTCTTAACCTAATCAATATCATTTCCGTCTTTCAAATCACATCCTAATTATCCTTAGTGTTTGTTTTGCACGAATGAAATTGTCTGACAATTACCTTTATTTCTGGAATGTTCTAAATATTTTGGGGGATTTTTTTGTGTTTATGTCTACAGAGATAAATTAAAGAACATATAATGGGATTTATTGTCATATATTGCTGGGGGTTTTTTGTGATAAGAATGGGTATAAAAAAACGAAACGAAGTATAGATCTGTATTTTAATCAGATTGCTCTTGTGCTCGTTGGTATGCAGGTAAAAGAGCCCTCGACAGTTTGAATTATATATAGTATAGGTGGTAACAAAGCTGTCTGGTTGTTATAGCACACGACATGATGTAAGCCTGTAGTTTGTCCATCTCAGTCTCTCTCATTCATACACTCCCCGGCCCCCTCAAAACTAAAACCCTATTATGTTTTGTTGATGTATGTTTTAAAGGTTATAATGTTTTGTTGATGTATGTTTTAAATGTTATAATGTTTTGTTGATGTATGTTTTAAAGGTTATAATGTTTTGTTGATGCATGTTTTAAAGATTATAATGTTTTGTTGATGCATGTTTTAAATGTTATAATGTTTTGTTGATGCATGTTTTAAATGTTATAATGTTTGGTTGATGCATGTTTTAAAGGTTATAATGTTTTGTTGATGTATGTTTTAAAGGTTGAAGCTGAAGTATGTGGAAGTGATGGAAAAACTTATCTTAATGAATGTGAACTAAAAGTAGCAGCTTGTCGTAGAAAACAGTTTATATCAATAGCTTCAACAGGCTCCTGTAGTAAGTTTTATACAATTATATAAAATACTGGGGGGGTCTAGTGGTTTAACGGGTGCGTGCTAGATCATAACATCTGTCATTGAGTCAAGTGGCATGGTTTTAATACCCTGCTTGTACATGACAAGGATTAGGGTCACTTGTCCAACCTCATGGGTTTTCTCCGGGTTCCACCCACTGCTAAAGACACCTGTCCAACCTCGTGAGTTTTCTCTGGGTCCTCCGGTTTCCTCCCACTGCTAAAGACCCCTACACGCAAGCAAATTGTTGAAATCAAATTGAACTATACGTTGGTCTCGAAATGCTCTAGTTTGTGTCGTGTACCTATTGATGTGCACGTAAAAGAACCCTTGACTGTTGGAATTCAAACTAAGAGTAGGTCGTAGCCCCGCTGCCTTGGCAAATTTTCCCTCATGGCAAACTGTATGGCCTATATCGAATTCCAACTACCAAGGGATCTTTTACGTGCACGCCAATGTGTACACAGGACCTCGGTTTTTCATCCCATCCGAACAACTAAACAGCTGTCCTTGTCAGGCCCTCCATCCTGCATCACTGACAAGGGAAAACCACGCCGGAAAATCGGGATGAACTTTCTCTGCCAATGCAGGGATCGAACACCCGACCTCCAGGCTAGCGAGCCAGCGTCTTACCCACTTAGCCACCGTGGCTCCCGGTCTTCATTAAACCATTCTGTGCCAAAAAGGTGGAGATGAAACCCCCATTTCATTTCAACTGCCTATATCTGATACAATACATGGCAGAGAGCAAACCTGTCTTTTCACTTGGTAGCAGTGGCGGATTAAGCTCCACCAAGGCCTGAGGCGGCAGTTGCTGGAGGGCCTATTTAGTTTTTAAAGTTAGAGCCAAGGTAGTTGCTAACATTAAAAACGGGATTCGTTACTGAGGTTATCCAGGGGCCTACAATCGCGTCATAACTAGTATGACGTCTTAGACTATACTAAGCCAAAGTCGTTTGATATTGGTAATGTAACTTTATATGCCCATAAATGACGTCACATGGATACAATACTGTATATTAAGCAAGACATAACCGAAAACATACAAGGATTTAACGTACATTGTAGACCTACGTTTAAAAAATAAGATCAGATCTCCAAACAAATAGGGCCTATTACAATGGCGTGGGCCTAATTAATTTCACTTCAGGGCCTATGTTGATTCCCGTTGGGTCTAAATCCCACCCCCTAACATTCATTGTCTATGCGTTTTTAATTGTATCAGACAAGTCTAAAAATTTTTTTTTTACAAAATCTTTGGGTCTGAGGCTGCCGCCTCATCAGCCTCACTGATAATCCGCTACTGCTTGGTAGATATTAAAATTAACAGACTGAAACTGATTGCATTACATTTTAATCTCTAAGGATATACGAGTAGAAATGTTATAAAATAAAATAGCATGTGCGTGCTGTATCATAAGGCGTGTCATCGAGTCGACTGGCGTGGTTTCGAATCCTCGGTTGTACGTGACAAGGAGTAGGGTCGCCTGTTCAACCTCGTGGGTTTTCCCCGGGTCCTCCGGTTTCCTCCCACTGCTAAAGACCCCTACGCGCAAGCGAATTATTGAAATAAAATTAAACCATATGTTAGTCCCGAAATGACCTAGTTTGTGACGAGTGGATGTTAAACCCCATTTCTCTCTCTCTCTAAGGATATACGGGTAGAAATGTTATAAAATAAAAATAATTGAGCTTTTCACAAATGATCCTGGTATTGACAAAAATGATGCCACTAGGGAAAGTTTTTGAATTAAAATTGCTTCACACTTTAAGAACTTCCCCACTGGACGGCATTAATCGATATGATTTACTCCCGATGGGTCTCTACCTTTATTGTATACTTTCGTTGTTGAATGAAGAAAGATATCTATTTTTTTTACAGATATTCGATCCTTGCCTTAGCAGAAAAAGTTCTTCGGGACTTCCCACTGTGGTTATCCCTTGCCAGTGGTGCAGGACGGAGGGCCTGACAAGGACAGCTGTCTAGTTGTTCGGATTGGTCAGGTTCCATGTGCATATTGGCATGCTCGTAAAAGATCCCTGGGCTGTTGGAATTCGATATAAGAATAGGCTGTAGCGCATCTATCCAGGCAAAATTTCCGTTATAGCACACTGTATGGCACATACCCGTCTTCAATTGCTTAGTGTGAACAGAACAGTAGGACGTTAAATCCCATTTCTTTTCATTTCATTTTATTACAGATAAATGTGCTGATGTTGTGTGTCAATATGGAGCTAAATGTGAAAATGGAGCATGTGTTTGTCCGATCATGTGTCCAACAGTCCGAGAACCTGTCTGTGCCAACGATGGTGTAACTTATTCTAACGAATGTGAGATGAGGCGAGCATCGTGCGGCCTGAGTATAAACCTGGTCATCTTTCCCAATGATCGATGTGATGACGAAGTTATTTCTTCAGGTTCAGGAGGTATGGTATTTCCCCCGTCCCCTCCCACGTCCCTACTTTTACCACAATTTGTGCCTATTAGATGTTTCAAACGGCAATTAGCACCGAATGATCGTATTTCACGCTGTTGCAATAAAGTACTTTTGACAATATAGATGTGATTATCCAGTTGTTGTTATTTTTAACCAGTGGCATGAAGTATTAGTTGTATTTTGTTTAATACAGTTAGTTGTTACATAATATCATAATTTACCTGTAGATCCAGTCTATAGACTTGTTTTCATTGTCTTTATTAATCAGTGTTGATTGTGATGTTCCAAATTGATACATTTGACTGATTTGAAGTAAATATTAAAACTATTGAATGTCATCTGGGGGATTTTGAATCCCTTACAAAATTCAATAATGTTAAAGTTGAATCTCTCCAAGGAATATCAGGGCCCTTATTCGCGAAAACTTAAACTAAGATACAATCAAAATTTTAAGAAATACATCAATTCGATTGGCTGACCAGTAAAATCAATTTGCATATATCCAATTTGCATATTAGTCAGCCAATCGAATTGCAGTATTTCTTAAAATTTCGATTGTATCTTAGTTTAAGTTTTCGTGAATAAGGGCCCAGTTCAAAAACAGTTTATTCTTTTTAGATTTTAAAAAGGGATGGCTGGGTAAAATCTTTTGGTGGGCCTTTTATAAATCAGATGGTCGTTATTTAAGAGATGTTGAATCCCTTACAAACTATAATATTGTAGGGTGGGGTTGGATGGCTGAATGGTTAGCACGTGCGTGCTTTATCATAAGACCTGTCATTGAGTCAACTGGCGTGGTTTCGAATCCCCGGTTGTACGTGAGAAGGAGTAGGGTCGCCTGTCCAACTTCCTGGGTTTTCTCTGGGTCCTCCGGGTTTCCTCCCACTGCTAAAGACCCCTACGCGCAAGCGAATTATTGAAATAAAATTGAACCATGTGTTAGTCCTGAAATGACCTAGTTTGTGTCGAGTGGACGTTAAACCCCATTTCTCTCTCTCTCTCTATAATATTGTAAAAGTTGAATCTGTAAGAGTAATATCAGTCTTGATTGAGATATTCCAAATTGATACGTTTGGTTGATCAGGAGTATATATTAAAGCTGTTGAAAGTCATTTGAGGAGACTCTTGTAAAATACAATATTGTGATGAAAGTTGAATCTCTAAAAGGAATATCTCGAAAAATGTTTAATCCCATTCAGTATTTACAAAGTCATGATGATTTGAAAATTTCTTAACAGCAAATATAAACAAGTTAGCGCTAAATTTTGGGTAAAATCTTTTGATGGGTCTCTTTTTAGTCCGGTTGAATCCAAGACAGGAAATTATCTACGGTTGATATATTTTTTATTTGTTTTCTAAATTAAATTTTAAGTAATCAATTTGAGTTTGAGGAAGTTGTGAAATATTAGATAGATAGATATTGTTCAAAAGATACAAATGATGAACAAGCTTTAAAGGGCTGATCTCAATTATATTTTGTATTAAAAGCCCTTAAAAACTCAATATACGTGATACGTTTTCAAACAACTAAATTCGTCAGTCTTCATCTGGAAATGTAGACTGCTGTCCCAAGCTGGATAAAACCAGAATTTTATTTTATAAAAGTTGTGTGTAGTCGAAATTTACCTTTTGTTATCAAGTACAACACCTGCGTAATGCACTGTATAGCCCTCTAAAAGAACAGCAATAGATTATTAGGTCACCCAACGAAAAAATGACCGGAAATCTTAAAATGGTTATTTATCTGAATAAGCAGTTTTGACGTTTATGTTCAAACGACTCAATATTTTGAGCTGATATTTTGAAACAATGTAAATACACCATTCCTCTATATTTTGGCGCTTAAATTTCATACGTACATGGATTTTTTTCTGCGAATCTGTTCAAATGGGGATGTTGCCTTTAAACTGCTGTACTCACAGGCTGAATTAGCAGGAAAACATGCTCTTTGCAGTCTATTTTTTTAAATTTTCTGAGGGAGGCATTCACCTCAATTTCTGATGGTCCCTTTAAGTTATTCAACTAAAATCTTCTTTTTAAAAATAGATATTTGAATTGGCACGATATAAATTAAAATAGATTCTAATTAGGTAGATATTATCAATCAACGTTGATTATTAAAGACAATAAAATCATCAAGTCAATTAATTATTTGTCTTCTTAATTCTATTTATATATAAGCAGTCACATTATTCAAACTTTTTTCAAAGTTCATGATTTGAAGGATAAATCCAAATTATTAATTTTTTTTATAATCATATGGATGGTGAATACTATCCAACTGAAGTCTTGTTGAAGTTTAATTTCATGATATAATACTGGGAAAATGTGTTATCAGAGAAAAATGATAAAGTAAGAGATTGAAAATTGTTTGCAGCAATGGCGTCCTTTCAGTCATATTTGCCACATTTGACAGGCATGGATGTTAAAGCCCATTTCTCTCGCTCTCTTGACTTTTTGGCAATGAATTACAACGCCTGGAGAATATATCTGTTTGTTAATTTACATGCTATGATTTAGATATCTCATTATACCATAAGACACAATGAATACCGTTAAATTCATAGTTTATATTTTTGAAAACAAATTGAAATAATGCTAAAACAAAGTCAATATTCTTTGGAAAAAAAATATGTTGCGAATCTGATTTAGAAGTTAAAGGTCTGAAACAAAATCTGATTTTGACGCAAAAGGTCTAAAAAAAAAATCTGCTTTTGACGCGAAAGGTCTAAAACAAAATCTGCTTTTGACGCGAAAGGTCCAAAACAAAATCGGATTTTGATGGGAAAGGTCCAAAACAAAATCTGATTTTGACGCGAAAGGTCTAAAACAAAATCTGCTTTTGACGCGAAAAGTCTAAAACAAAATCTGCTTTTGACGCGAAAGGTCCAAAACAAAATCGGATTTTGATGGGAAAGGTCTAAAAAAAAAATCTGATTTTGACGCGAAAGGTCTAAAATAAAATCTGATTTTGACGCGAAAGATCTAAAACAAAATCGGATTTTGACGCGAAAGGTCTAAAACAAGATTCAAATTCTTTGGAAAAATATCTTGTGAATCTGATTTTGAAGTAATGGGTCCAGTGCACAGTCGATAACAATGCCTGATGAAACAACTGCACTGTTGTCATTTCCATGATTTGAAATGGTTTAATAATGTGATTGTGTAACACTTATACATGTGGTATTTTGTTAATGTTTATATATTTAATCTTTATTCATCCAATTATCTCTCTAAATGTCTTTTATCCTTCTCTCACTTATCCTCTTATGTGTCTTGTAATGCACTTTTGTTTTTACATTCTTTGGTTTTATTCAGGCAGGTGGCCACAAAAACAAAACAAAAACAGCCCTCTACTAAAAAATATTCTTATACAGTATCAATTAAACTGTATAAGAATGACCCATCCCTTCTCAACAACAAATCATCACCAACCAACTAACACTGATTCTTTTTTGCAGCTCTAATAACATTTTATTTTTTACAAGGTAATGTTTTATATGTAATATGATGTTTGTATTATTCAAGAGGGATCATCTGAGGGTTCAGGGGTTGGGTTTGTAAGTACTTGTGATGAGAAAACCTGTGGATTTGGTGGTTCTTGCGTCCAAGATGAAGATGGAAGTAGTATTTGTTATTGTAAAGACAACTGTGATGCCGTCAGGTATGTAACATCTTTATTTATTGGATGGTTGGATGGCCGAATGGTTAACACACGCTACGGTCTGTCATTGAGTCAACTGGTGGGGTTTCGATTCCCCAGTTGTACGTGACAAGGAGTAGGGTCGCCTGTCCAACCTTCCTCCCACTGCTAAAGACCCCTACGCACAAGTGAATTATTGAAATAAAATTGAACCATGTGTTAGTCCCGAAATGACCTAATTGGTGTCGAGTGGATGTTAAACCCCATTTCTCTCTCTCTCTCTTTATTTATTATGTTCTCTTGAAGCGAAAAGGATAAGGGGAATTATATGAATACATATAGCCACTAGCCAGACGACTCAGAGGTTTACATTACCCTCTACAACCCTCCCTTGGGTTATATGCAGTTGATGACACATACTTTAAAAAGACATCAGTACCCAACATGTTTAAAACAAAGAAGCATCAGTACCCAACATCTTTAAAACAAAGAAACATCAGCACCCAACATCTTTATGACACAGAAACATCAGCACCCAATATCTTTAAAACACAGAAACATCAGTACCTTTAAATATCTTTAAATAAAGAGGCATCAGCACCTGATCTATTTAAAACGCAGAAACATCAGTACGCAACATGTTTAAAACAAAGAAGCATCAGTACCCAACATCTGTATAACACAGAAACCCTGTCTTCATTAGCCCAGTTCGGAGCAGAACAGTAGGACTTTAAACCCAATTTCATTTCATTTTCATTTCAACACAGAAACATCAGCACCCAACATCTTTAAAACAAAGAAACATCAGCACCCAACATCTTTAAAACACAGAAACATCAGCACCTAACATCTTTATGACACAGAAACATCAGCACCCAATATCTTTAAAACACAGAAACATCAGTACCTTTAAATATCTTTAAATAAAGAAGCATCAGCACCTGATCTATTTAAAACACAGAAACATCAGTACCTTTAAATATCTTTAAATAAAGAAACATCAGCACCCAATTTCTTTAAAACACAGAAACATCAGTACCTTTAAATATCTTTAAATAAAGAAGCATCAGTACCTGATCTATTTAAAACGCAGAAACATCAGTACGCAAAGTTTATAAAACATAGAACATAAGCCTTGTTATGTCAGGCCGACCGTTTGATGTCTGTAGACATTGCAAGAAAACTATTCATTTATTCCAATAGACATTGCTCATTGATACCACTAATCATTGCTCATTGATACCAATAGACATTGCTCATTGATACATATAGACATTGCTCATTGATATCAATAGACAGTGCTCATTGATACCAATAATCAATGATACCAATAATCATTTCTCATTAATACCAATAATCATGGATACCAATAATCATTAATACCAATAATAAATTCCCATTAAAGCAATAATCATTGATACCAATAATCCTTTGTCATGAAAGTAATAATCATTGATACCAATAATCATTTCTCATCAAAGCAATAATCATTGCTAATTGATACCTATAGACATTGCAAGAAAACTATTCATTGATATGCAATCACTAAATCAAAATGCCAAGGTGAATAACTAAGCTTGTTAATGTTTATTTACACTATAACCAATTCATCAGAGAGATGCTTTTAAAGGGACAATAACACTCTTGCTGGCTTGACAGCTCCAGAAAAAAAAATAGCCTTATTCTAAGTACTAGCTGTGTTAGTGTTCTACCTGTTGTGTAAATTATCCATTAAATCCTATTTTACTTGTCCAAAGGGTTCAAAAATATTTTTAAATCCAAGTCACATTTGAAAAGCTTTACGTCAGGCTTTTCAAATCATTTAGTTGAATTTTTCCAATTTTTTAAATTAGGTGTGTTAAGATGAAATTTGTATCATCAATTAATTGGAATATTGTAAAATATTACAATTTGTTGACCAGAATGAAGATTGGGACATATTATTCAGTTACAACAAGAGTGGTATATTGAGCCTTTAAACTTGTGTATTTTTCAACAACAGCTTCAAACGTTTAAAAGAATAAAACATATGTATGTAACACGAAATAGAAATAAAATAAAATATCTTGTTTTAGATCACAAGTTTGTGGGTCTGATGGGAAGAGTTATGGTAATGAATGTCAGTTGAAATATGAATCGTGTAGACAACAAAAGGAAATAACTGTCGCATCTTCAGATAATTGTGATGGTAAATATATACTTTCAAATATCATTAGGATTCATCTAAAAAACATTTAATAGAATAAACCCTGGTTGAATGTTGTTAAAGATATAGTCATTAGACAGCTGGGTCCTTATCAAGCAGGGGGGGTTGGATGGCTGAATGATTAGTGTGCGCGCGCTGTGTCATAAAGTCTGTCATTGAGTCAACTGGCGTGGTTTCGAATCCCCGGTTGTACGTGACAAGGAGTAGGGTCGCCTGTCCAACCTCGTGGGTTTTCTCCGGGTCCTCCGGTTTCCTCCCACTGCTAAAGACCCATACGCGCAAGCGAATTATTGAAATAAAATTAAACCATATGTTAGTCCCGAATTACCTAGTTTGTGTCGAGTGGACGTTAAACCCCATTTCTCTCTCTCTCTCCCTCTTCAAGCAACAACACATACTTTTTTTATGGAAATATTTTAGAAAATCTTTTGAAATTCTAAACTTTTCTGCCCGGTCTCCCCTTATCAATGGTGCGGGATGAAGGGCCTGACAAGGAACAATGTCTAGCCATTTGGATGGGACAAAAAAAACTAGTAATGTGTACACGTTCTGAATTTCCCTCATGGCAAACTGCATGGCATATGCCCATCTTCGTTAGCCTAGATGGAGTAGGATGTTAAACCCCATTTAATTTAATTTTCTACCATATGTTGGTCTCAAAATGACCTGGCCTGTGTTGAGTGCATGTTAAACCCCATTTTTCTTTCTTTCTTTCTCACCGAATATTATATTTAAGATATCGGATAAGATTAATCATGATTAATCATGTGATCGGAGCAGAACACTAGGATGTTAAACCCCATTTCGTTTCATTTTAACCATGTGATGGATCCTCCCTCCCTCTCTCTCTTTCTCTCTCTCTCTCTCTCCCTCCCTCTCCCTCCCTCCCTCTCTCTCTCCCTCTCTCTCATATATTTGTAAATATATTTAAGATATGGGGAGGAGGAGGAACAATGTGATGGATTACCAGCTTTGATACTTTGATTAATCCTCCTCTCTCTCTCCCCCTCTCTCTCTCTGCCTCTCTCTCTCTCTGTCTCTCCTGTATATTTGTAATTATATTTAAGATATCGGGGAGGAGGAACCATGTGATTGATTACCAGCTTTGATTAATCCTCTCTCTCTCTCTCTCACACACTCTCTCTCTCTCACACACTCTCTCTCTCTCTCCCTCTCCCTCTCTCTCTCTCTCTCTCTCTGTCTCTCCTGTATATTTGTAATTATATTTAAGATATTGGAGAGGAGGAACCATGTGATGGATTACCAGCTTTGATTAATCCTCTAACTGGTAAAGATTATGATTGTCAAGATGGCAGTGATAGATGTCCAAGCAGCAGTTATTGTCATCGTGGATCATTCTTTGCTAAATGCTGTCCTCAAGGTATTTTTTATCTGATTATCTTAACTTAAAGATGCTTTATGTAAGATTTAAATAAAGAGCTGACTGTTCTTGCTATGCCAGTTTAAAGATGGGTTCCCACGTACAAACTGGGTGATTTAATGGTATATATGGACTAAAAACATATTCAAACTAATTAATTTGTCATAACTTTGCTTCAAATCACCAAATGCTGAGAACATTTGGGCACACAATTGTACTTTGTAAAAGTTGTATAAAAAATATTGTGTTCTTGAATGTGTCCAATTTAACAGCGAATTTATTATTATTATGTAACATACTAAGAAGCTAACTACATTTTTTGGGCACCAACCACCACTGCCCCCCCCCCCAGTCAAAAATATCCCTGTAGACCTATGGTCGGAGCAGAACAGTAGGATGTTAAACCCTATTTCATTTCATTTCCTTTCTGGAAATATTTGTTAGATATTTTTATTTTACTAGAAATTTCAAAGCATAAGGTATCTTAACATAATGATTCAGCACATAGGCATACAAATATTCCAGTTTAAGGGTTTTTGGATTTCTTATATATCATTTTTATTGAAAAAATTCTATATATTTTAAAGATTTTATTTAATATGTTGCAGAACAGCAGATAAAGAAATGTTCAGAAACTAAATATGGATGTTGTCGTGATGGTCAGACAAGTTCTCCCGGACCCAAAGGGGCAGGGTGTCCAGGTATTCAGTCATAGACTACATGTTTATATAAATATTGGTTATAAAGAAATGAATTTGATAGGAAGTATAAAAATGAAATATGATATTAATAATGATGCTTTATAAATAAGATACAATCCAAGCTTTGCTTCCTTTTAATAGGTTACATTATAATATTTAAAGTTTTGATTCAGGATCTCTTTATCAGAATTGTGCCGTTTTTTTATTGGTGTATCTTGCCATCACACCTGTCTGTTTGTCTGTCTGTCTGCCTGTCTGTCTAGTTTTTTGAGATTTTTTTGACCCCGGTCCTAAATTTAGAGGTATTCAACAATTTTTTTTGCCGAGTTACTCCTCTTGTCACAGAAACCATCTAATCTTTCTACAGGTCGACAGTTCTGAAATTCCATTTTCGAACTAGTTTGAATTGTTCGATCTGCAAGCCTTGTACAACAGATCACAAAAAAATAACAAAATTTTACCGATTTATTGCCCTTGTTACAGAAACATTTGTATTCTTAGACTGGTAGGTGATTAACTGATTGCTTGGCAACTCGATGATCATGGTTGCAAACCTGAAAAGACTTAAATGATAGAAGAGATAGAGAGACCCTGATTTAAAAAAAACAAATCATTAGTAGAAATTTATGATCTAAAGTGCCAGTCTCTTTGTCTTATATTTACGCAGGATAGAATTGTGTGGAATACAAATACTGTTAATTACTGAGTGGCGTTTCAGCTTCTCTAAATTCATGGGTCAGTGCCCGATTAGGACTCTGCAGGCTCCAAGGCACATTTTGATAGGTGGCCTGAAAATACTGATATTTGGGGTTCACCAGTACTGTAATTACTATAAGGTTACAGTAGCTAGATTACAACTTTTATTACTTTATTTTTTTTTGTGGCCTGGATTTCTGACTGGCTCTAAGGCACTTGCCTTATTTGCCTCATGGTTTATCCAGCGTTGGATTTGATATTGACTAGAGAAGCCTAGTTAAAACGTTGTTCAGTAAATAACAGTAATAGTATTCTATAGAGTTGTCACCTGTATATTCCAGTTCAATTACTAAATGCCATTGAAACAATTTATATATATATTTGGATGTATTTTATTAATATTTAGCCAACTGTCAATGCTTGTGTGTCTCATGAATCAACTTTCAATACTCGTGTGTCTTATGAAGGGACAGAATATTTTGTCCGGCAACTGAAATTCAAAGAGACTGGAACTTTAAATCTGGATTTAAATTCTTCCTTGATTATTTGAAATGGTTTAAAGTTTCAAGAGCTTGATATTAAGTATATTGATACTACATGTGAGTTCTGTCTATAGTGTTGTATCAACATATTACATAATACCTTGCTTCTACCTTTAAACAACTTAAAATACAGATTATACTTTCACACACGTGAAATAACTGTAAAATCATCTCGCGAGTCCAATTTTCTATAAAATGTACGATTGGAACTTGCCTGTACCCTTATTTGAAATAATGGTACGCCAGTATCAAAGGCTGATGTACCCTTATTTGAAATAACGGTATGTCAACATCAAAGATTGACGTCAGATCTGTATTTTAATTCTACTTATTGATTATATATGATTCAAGATTTTTATGTGATTATAAGAATAAACAAATAATTATTTTATTCAACACCCCAGATTTCCCTCCATTTAACGATATTTCTGATGGGCTGCCTGCCAAACAATTATTGTGGTTTTGGGTGCCTTTTTATTGCTGGCATGTATATATAGCTTTAATATATGATAGATGTTTTATAATATATATAATGTAGCATGAGAATATTTTAGTTTTAACGTAATCATAGATTATAGATAGAACTAGCATGTCCTTCAATCCAGACTACCATTCATCATTGGTTTTAATTGTAATCTAGTTTTACCATATGTCAACTCTAAAGACATTGTTTTTTCTTACTGGATCCTGCACACTTAGGCCAAACCAACTGAATTTTAGTTCTTACAGGTCGTGATCAATAAAAAGAATCTCAATTCTTGGGAATGATGTTTTATTTAAAAGAGCAGACAAACATTTCTTTTTCACTTTTTTTTCCCCCCCCCAAGAAAAAGGCTGACAAATTGTACTATTGTGGTACCAGTCAGTGTTCTGAAAAACAAAAATTAAAACTGTTCTAGCCTTAAGACACATTCATTATATTTGCTCAGAACCCGAAAACATATTTAATCACCCTATTTATCGCAAATAAATTCTCAGTTATGCCAAGAAAATACCAGATTGTTTCTTGATTTGGATAAATTTTTCCCTGGATACAGACTTTAGCACTTCCTATGCACTTACCTGTATACATATTCATCCCATCACAATACTTTTACCTGTATTTACCTGTATTTATATATTATAACTTATGTATAATAATATTTATTTCAGGTAATTTTCTATACAAGTTTTATAATTAATCAATTATTTGTCTGTGTAATTTTGAAAGTTTTTTTTAAGAATTTCTATAAAAATTTGAATCATATATATGTTGAATTATTCCTTAGGGCATTTTTGTTTTTATGATTTTGTGTTCAGTTCTAATTTTATTATTTTTTATTTTTTTTCATTTTTATGATATTTAAAACAAAATATTTTCTTAATAGAGCTCAATTCATGAATTTCTGACAGAATAGATTTAAGATTGTTTGTGTCTCTTACTTTTTTTTTTTTTTTTTTTTTTTTTTTTCAATAAATTTGTTAAATGGTGTTGTGTAGGTCCAGGTTGATATAAGTGTCTCTGTGTGTTGGGTGTGGCTCATCCACCTGGAGATCCTAGGATCGATCCTGGTGTTAGTATCTAGTTGTTTGTATAGAGCAAAATACTGGGGCGTTTAAGAACCCTTAACAGGTTGGATTTGATGAAAAGTAGACCAAAAAGCTGAGCTGCTGTTGGCGAAAAATTTCCCTCATAGCAGTCACTACTAGAGTGTATGGCATATGCCTCTCTTCTTCTCATTTCTAAATGATAACCATCTTCATTAGCCCAGTTGGAGCAGAACAGTAGGACATTAAACCCCATTTCACATTTCTTCTCATTACGAAATGATAAAAAAAATATTAAAGTCATCTGGAGTACAGAAAGCTCTTATTTTAGTGGCCGTGGTTTCCCCTTGTCTGGGGTGCAGGACAGAGGGCCTGACAAGGACAGCTGTCTAGTCGTCCATATGGTACAAAAAACTGAGGTCCCGAGTATACATTGGCGTGCACATAAAAGATCCTTTTCCAAAGCGGTTTCCCCTTGTCAGTGGTGCAGGACACAGGGCCTGACAAGTACAACTGTCTAGTCGTTCGGATGGGTGAAAAGACTGAGGTCCTGTGAATACATTGCCGTGCATGTAAAAGATCCCTTGCCAATTGGAATTCGATATAAGAGGAGGCTGTAGCGCCGCTGTCAGGGCAAAATTTCCCTCATATGATACTGTTTGGCGTATTCCCGTTTTCATTAGCCCAGTCGGAGCAGAACAGTAGGACGTTAAACCCCATTTCATTTCATTGATTTAGAGGTCCACAAATTATTGCCCAATTTCGTCAAAATTTATTGATTTAGTTGGTCCTTTGAATTTAGAATGTTTAATTAGATTGTGTCTATGTTTTTATAGTTGTATATTTTTCCTTTAAATTTGATGTCATCTTAGTTTTATTTCCTCATTTATTTCTATGGAAACTGTCTAATTGATTGTGTTCTTTATTTATTTCTATGGAAACTGCCGTCATCTTAATTTGGTTCTTTCTTCAGTGATATTTATAGACGCTGCTTTCAGCGCCAGTTTTATATCTTATATTTTCTTTTGTCTTTCATTGTTCTGTCTTTTTAATTGCTAATTAATTTTCTTTTCTTAGCGATGTCACTAATTAATTTTCTTAGAGAAAGATTAATTAATTTCCTAGAGCTATTATTTTTTTTGGGTGTATTATAATTAGAGCCGCTGATATTCTTCTTCTTTTTCTGATTCTTCTCTTTTCTTCAGTTAAAAAAACAAAAGTTTTATTTAAAGAGTTTTCTTGTAAATTAACGAGAAATGGAATTGACGATAATATTAAATCGATTCAAGATAAAATGTAATTAATATTAAATTTTTTTTTTTTTTCTATAGAATATTGTCACTGTAATTCCCTTGGTTCGTATACGAATAACTGTGATCCCAGTACTCGTCAATGTACCTGTAAACCTGGAGTTGGAGGACTACGATGTGACCGTTGTCAACCTGGATATTGGGGACTACACAAGATAGTTGATATGGGCAATCCTGGATGTATACGTAAGGATTTTACAATTAATCAAGCATTACTATGACAACCTTTTTGCATCATTAACTGGAGCCATGGTGGCTCAGTGAGTAAGATGTTAGCTCACTATCCTGTGTTCGATCCCTGCGTTGGCCGAGAAAGGTCATCAGGATTTTCTGGCATGGTTAGTCCTTGTCAGTTGTGCAGGACAGTCGTGTGGATGGGACAAAAATAAAGGTCCCTGTCTACACATTGGCATGCACGTAAAACAACGTAAGAGAGACCCCAAACATTCTGCCGCTTGGCCAGAACACCTAATCTGTCTTTTCATAATCCACATTTCTGTAAGTGAATTGTGTAAATATATCCATATTTGTGTATATTATTTCAACGTGGGGGGGTTGGGTGGCCGAATGGTTAGCGTGCGCGTTGTATCATAAGGTCTTTCATTGAGTCGACTGCCGTGGGTTTTCTCCGGGTCCTTCGGTTTCCTCCCACTGCTGAAATACCCCTACCCCCAAGCGAATTACTGAAATAAAATTGAACTATATGTTAGTTCCAAAATGACTTAGTTTGTGTCGAGTGCACATTAAACTCCATTTCTCTCTCTCTCTGTCTTTATTTTAGCGTGTAATTGTAATTCATATGGTTCTATAAGAGATGATTGTGATCAGATGACTGGACGATGTATGTGTAGACCGTATATTAACGGTATGAAGTGTAATCTGTGTAGTGATGGTAACCTATTAGGACCTGGTGGATGTGAAGGTAATAATTTATAACATTTCTATTAAACATGATGTCTGTGAAAGGAGTAGGGTCTCCTGTCCAACCTCTGGTTTCCTCCCACTGCTAAAGACCCCTACCCCGAAGCGAATTATTGAAATAAAATTATTAAACCATATGTTATTCCCAAAATGACCTAGTTTGTGTCGAGTGGATGTTAAACCCCATTTCTCTCTCTCTCTCTCTCCAAGTATAATTTTAACTATAGATGCGTAAGACAGGTTTCAACAATCGCCTTTGGAAGTGACAAACACAAAAGGAAAACATAAGTTATCCTTCTAATAATGTCTATATAACTGAATGAAGTGACGGGTGATAACAGATACACAGGCATTCTGCTAACTAATAATTCCTTCGAAGACCAAAAGTTGATATCTGATAACTCATGCTTCCCTTTCTTGAAGGCTTCATAACGTATCTATCGTAGCAATGATCTCTTGTGTTAAAATTATATTAAAATTTGTAACGTGTTTAACCAGTTCTATCACATCTGTGATAATGACTGACACCAATATTGTCATTTAAAGCAGCCTTTCACTAGCTCTTTGTATTACTTCTCAGCTAAAGATACTCCTACATCATGTCGAGATCTGGTTTGTAAATTTGGAGCTATTTGTGAGAACATTGAAGGCCGACCCGAATGTGTTTGTGATCAGAGTTGTGATGATCGAGATGTAAGGCAGGATATTGTTTGTGGAACAGATGGACAGAATTATGGATCGGAATGTCAGCTGGAAATGTTTGGATGCCGTCTTCAAAAGGATATAAGTGTTGCTTACCGAGGACCTTGTAGAGGTAAGTTTAATATATGAAATTAAAAATGAATTGTTACTTCTGGATTGATCAAAATATTTAGAATTAAAACATTTCCTTTTCTGAAAAGGGAAGCACGGTGGCTCAGTGGGTAGGGTGCTGGCTCATTAACCTGAAGGTCCCGGGTCATATTCCATGTTCATTGAAAAAGATCCACAGGATTTTCAGGCGTGGTTTGCACTAGTCACTGGTGGCAGGACAGATGATCTGGCAAGAAACATAGTCTAGTCATTCGAATGGGACAAAAAAGAGAAGGTGGAAAAACTTCTGTCTGGGCACAATATTCTTCATAACACTCTGTATGCCGTATGTCTGTTATTATTTGGGAGTCATTGTGGCTAAGTGGGTAAGACACTGGCTCGCTAGCCTGGCGATCGAGTGTTCCATCCCTGTATTGGTCAAGAAAGTTCATCAGGATTTTTCAACGTGGTTTCCCAGTTAGGGCCTGACAAGGACAGCTGTCTAGTCTTTTGGATGGGACAGAAAACTGAGGTCCTGTTTACACATTGGCATGCACGTAAAAGATCTCTTGGCAGTTGGAATTCGATATAAGAGTAGGCCAAAGTGCCGCTGCCCAGGCAAAATTTCCCTCATAGCACACTGTGTGGCATATGCTCGTCTTCATAAGCCCAGTCGAAGTAGGACGTTAAACCCCATTTCATTTCATTTCCTCTCTCTCTCTCTCTCCCTCTCTCTTTCTCTCTCTCTCTCTCTACAGTGTTCCCCTCTCTCTCTCTCTCTCTCTCTCCCTCTCTCCTGTATACTTGAAATTTAAGTTATTATTCAAATTCAGTATCTGTTTGGCTTTAACATTTCTTCCCTTTGGTCTTTTAAAGCTGCTCCGTCTCCCAGAACTACAGCACCTCCGTTATCTACATCACAATCCCATTATTATTCAAATTCATTACCTGTTTCAGTATCTGTTTGACTTTAATACTTCTTCCTTTTGGTCTTTTATAGCTGCTCCGTCTCCCAGAACTACAGCACCTCCGTTATCTACATCGCGATCTCGTAAAACAACTCGTCATATACATCCTGGTCAAGATGAGACGTATTCACCACAACTACCACAGATACACGGTACAGAAAGACCTATAGTCAGTGATTCAGAAAAAGAATGTGGTAGGTTTCTTATTTATTATCCTCTGTTTGATTGTTCCACGTCGCCTGTCCAGCCACGTGGGTTTTCTCCGGGTCCTCCGGTTTCCTCCCACTGCTAAAGACCCCTACGTGCAAGCGAATTATTGAAATGAAAATTGAACCATATGTTAGTCCTGGAATGACCAGGTTTTTGTTGGACATTAAACCCTCAGCAACTTTTTAGAGCCACGGTGACTAAAGATTTTCTGGCGTGGCTTCCCCTCTTCAGTAGTGCTGGATGGAGGGAAAAGGACAGCTGTCCAGTCGTTTGGATGGGACGGATAACCGAGGTCCTGTGTACACATTGGTGTGCACGTAAAAGATTCCTTGGCATTAAAATTCTATTAACATTGCCCGTCTTCATTAGCCCTGTCAGAGCAGAACAGTAGGACGTTATATCCCATTTCATTTCATCAGCAACTTTAATAATCTTATTTCAGTCTCCAGAGTTACCTTAAAAATATATGTATTAATATATTATGTTTGTCAGGACCTTCGGGTTGGATGGCTGAATGTTAGCATGCGCGCGCTGTATCATAAAGTTTGTCATTGAGTCGACTGGCGTGGTTTCGAATCCCCGGTTGTACGTGACAAGGAGTAGGGTCGCCTGTCCAACCTCGTGGGTTTTCTCCGGGTCCTCCGGTTTCCTCCCACTGCTAAAGACCCCTATGCGCAAGCGAATTATGTAAATAAAATTAAACCATATGTTAGTCCCGAAATGACCTAGTTTGTGTCAAGTGGACGTTAAACCCCATTTCTCTCTCTCTCTCTCTCTAGTCAGGACCTAATGGTAATATTTATGTATTTTTATATTTGGTTTATTAGGACCTGATGGTAAAATATGTGTATTGTATATTGTCAGGACCTGATGGTAATATAAGTGTATTGTATATTTTCAGGCCCTGATGGTAAAATATGTGTTTTGTATTTCAGGACCAGATGGTAATATTTGTAAATTATATATTTTGTTTATTAGGACCTGATGGTAAAATATGTGTTTTGTATATTTTCAGGACCAGATGGTAAAATATGTGTTTTGTATATTTTCAGGACCTGGTGGTAATATTTATGTATTTTTATATTTTGTTTATTAGGACCTGATGGTAAAATATGTGTTTTGTATATTTTTCAGGACCAGATGGTAATATTTGTGTATTATATATTTTGTTTATCAGGACCGGATGGTAAAATATGTGTATTGTATATTTTCAGGACCAGATGGTAATATTTGTGTATTGTATATTTTGTTTATTAGGACCTGATGGTAAAATATGTGTATTGTATATTTTCAGGACCTGATAGTAATATTTCTGATTATATATTTTGTTTATTAGGACCCGGTGGTAATATAAGTGTATTATATATTTTGTTTATTAGGACCCGGTGGTAATATTTGTGTATAATATATTTTGTTTATCAGGACCAGATGGTAATATATGTGTATTGTATATTTTCAGGACCTGATGGTAAAATATGTGTATTGTGTATTTTCAGGACCTGATGGTAATATAGATGAACTATGTATTGTTGATTCTGATTGTTGTGTATCTAACAGTAGTTGTAGACAAGGACTATGTCAATGTTACGATCAATTTGTGGCCTCTATCGATAACAGCCAGTGTATAGGTAAGTTATATATTGATATCTATATATCTATATATATACTTCTCACGGAGGCCATAGAAATAAAATATTCTGTTTTCTCAGATAACTCCTGCGTCACTTAAAAAGGGATGTGTAAAAGCAGTTTCATTAATTACCACAGTAAATATAATCCCCGGTTATATAAAGTAACTCTATCAAAAAATCTGACTAAATCCGAAAATGTTTTATATGCTCATTTATCGAGTATGTAACCCTGATAAATCTGTCATTGAGTCAACTAATGTGGTTTCAGTTCCACGGTTATTTGTGACAAGGAGTAGTGTAGCCTGTCCAACCATGTGCGTTTTTTCTGGGTCCTCCGGTTTCCTCCAACAGCTAAAGGCACCTAATTAATGAAATAAAATTGAACCATGTGTTAGTCCCGAAATGACCTAGTTTGTGTTGAGTGGACATTAAACCCCATCTATCTCTCTATCTCTCTCTCTCTCCCCCCCCCCCCCCCCCTGGCAAGGATTTTCTGAGAATCAGAATATTTTATTTTTTTGTATGGCCTAAACAACATAGTTTTTGATGCATTAATAATTAAGCATGGTGATTTTTTTGCTCTGTTGGAATTTCTGGAATGATTTAAGAGAACGATGCCTATAAATATTTAATGCTCAAGTATTCCTCATTGCATTCTTTTAGCTACAAAATATATAAAAGATATCTTTAATTTGAGAAACTCTGCAATTTTTTACTAAATAATTTTTTAGCACTGAATAATGAAAAAAAATAAATAGAAAAAAAAAAGATTTCTTCTAATATGGTTTTATTATGTAAATATATAGTTAGATATACTATTAGTAACAGGGTAGAGTAATAAACTATAACACATACTTATAGAAAACAGCTATGTGATATACTATTTGTAACAGCCATGTGATATACTATTTGTAACAGGGTAGAGTAATAAACTGTAACACATAGAAAACAGCTATGTGACATACTATTACTAATGGGTAAATACTTATAGAAAACAGCTACATGATATCCAGGTCAATTTCTAAATGCCATTGAAACAATTAATCAGTTATTGAAATATTTAGATGACTTTTTAAACAATATTCTATCAATGATATAAAGGGAACTTCGGCTAAATACAGATGGGGACGCAGGATGTTTGGTTAGAGAGGTATGGTGTTTGGTTAGAGGGGTATGGTGTGGACTCCTGGGGACAGGAGGGGGGGGGGGCCCTGGTGCGATGGTGTTGAGGTCTCTCCCTTCAGCCCAATCAACAAAAAACTCACACTTACATGTTTCATAGAAGCAATGTAAATAGTGAATTTTTGATACTGTTAGTTAGAGGAACCCATGACATTAGGGCCACCAACTCGATCTGACACTTTAACTAAATATATTGATAGCTGTTTTCTGTAAATATGTATTATCGTTTACTATTGTTAGAATGTAGAAAACTTAGAGAAATTTTTCAATAATTTCCATTGAATATGATTGTGTCCTACACGTGTAATATTGACTTTGTTTTCGTGTAGAGGTGATAAGAGCGAAACCACCATCATCTTTGACTAATTCCCCCAATGAAGATGCTTGCACCATAAACCCATGCCACAACTCTGGTACATGCGAGCTGGATGAATCGCTTGGCTTTCGCTGTCTGTGCCCTCTTGGCAAAACAGGCTCATTATGCAAAGACGGTAAGCGCAAAGTTCACACATAGCATCTTTTGAGTTTAATTAATTGGAGGCATTAATCGCTCTGATTCTTGTTAATGTGTATAGAAAAGATTTCAATTTACCCAGAGTAAAATTGATATCAGTAAACTAAACTATATTCTGTTTACCCAGTTTACCCAGGGTAAAATTGATATCAGTAAACTAAGCTATATTCTGTCATTTTGAATTTAAACTTGTTCAAATTCCTGGGAAAATTGAAATAACTATAAAGATGTTATGTACTGAATTGGTAGACAATATATCCTCTCAACAGGGTATGGGCTTAGCTTTATTTTGCTGCCATGTTTTTTTGTTTGTTGTGAATTTTTATACGCCCACATTTTCATGTGGACGTATTATGACGTCGCCCCTGTCCGTCCGGACGTCCGTCCGTCCACAATTGTTTGTGGACTCTTTACAGGTCACAATTCATATCCGATTTTGACGAAACTTGAAATATAGGTTTATCCCCAAAAGATCTCGGCTGCTTTCGATATTGGCATGTATCGTATCAAAACTTCATGGATTATGGCCCCTGATTGTACGAAAAATCACGTTTTTAGCTTGTGGACCCTAAAGAGGTCACAATTTTTATCCGATTTTTTTGAAACTTGAAATGTAAGTTTATAACCCAAAGATCTCAGTTCCTGTCGGTATTCGGACATATCGGACCGTAACTTCCAGAATTATGGCCCCTGATTGTACGAAAAATCACGTTTTTAGCTTGTGGACCCTATAGAGGTCATAATTTTTATCCGATTTAAAAAACCGTATTATGATATCACCGTTACACCCTAAGGATGGCTGAGTTAGAAGTTCGTGAAAATCGGCCCAAAATTGACAGACAAAATGGGCGCCGTTTGTTCTCAAATAGCGTAAAAATATGGTATATCAAGGTTGTGGACCCTATAGAGGTCACAATTTTTATCCGATTTTGTTGAAACTTGAAATGTAAGTTTATAACCCAACGATCTTGGTTCCTTTCGATATTCGCTCATATCGGACCGTAACTTCCAGAATTATGGCCCCTGATTGTACGAAAAATCGCGTTTTTAGCTTGTGGACCATATAGAGGTCATAATTTTTATCCGATTTAAAAAAACGTATTATTATATCACCGATACACCCTAAGGATGACTGAGTTCGAATTTCGTGAAAATCAGCCCAAAACTGACAGATAAAATGGCCACCCTTTGTTCTCAAATAGCGTAAAAATAGGGTACATCAAAGTTGTGGACCCTATAGAAGTCACATTTTTTATCCGATTTTGTTGAAACTTGAAATGTAAGTTTATAACACAAAGATCTCGGTTCCTTTCGATATTTGCGCATATCGAATTGTAATTTCCTGAATTATGGCTCGTGATTGTAGGAAAAATCACTTTCTTCTTAGCTTGTTCTCTATCCATCTCTCGAAAATGTCGGCGTATCCTGCCTGGCAGCCGCTGGTTTAATTTTTTTCTCTTTTT